GCCCCTGCTGCCTGGTGGGTGGAGGTGGGGATGGGACGAAGCTGGGCTGTCTCGTCTGCCCAGGCCCATACTAGGGTGATGTTGACATAACATGCCGTCATCATCCGGGAGATCCTGGGCCCTGACTAACCCCCAGGACACAAGTCAGACCCTCAGGCGAGACCCACGGCCTTGCCTGCCCCACTCCCAGAGAGCTGTGCTGAGAGCCTGTTCGCTGGACGCCTGGACAGTGGTGCTGGTGGGAAGCGGGCCCCACCCTGTCACGGACCCGCACAGACAGCAGGGTCCACGCGACCCTCCCGGCTCACAGGCCTGAGCGTGGCTCTCCTCGAAGTGCTACCGGTAACTGGGCAGCAACTGCCATCTCCTGGTGCAGAAGCACCTTGGTTTTTACCTTTATCTGCCTCTTCATCGTGATACAGAAAAGCATGATGAAATACATGACCAGGATGGGCCAGAACACTGGCACGTTGAACGCCTCGAAGAAGGTGCAAACCATGGCCACAAGGATGCCCTTGGTCGCCGCGTGCCTTAACGGAAGAAGACAAGGTCAGCGGTGCTGCCGACACCGGGCGCCAGCTGCCTGGGGCCCCGTGGAGGGTGTGCGCCCCCACTCAGGCGGGGTGGGCACTGCGGGCGGTATGTGTAATGCACCACGTGGAACCACAAACACCGTTCTTACTCGCTTGGAAGCTCGACATTTTCTGCTGAAATTACACAAAGCAGAAAACAACAGTGGGGGCGCCAAGGCTGTTCAGACAGGCGGCTGGGAGACGGCATGGAGGCCCGAGTGCTGCTGGGCCCCCATCCGGAATAACCCGTCCCAGCCTCGCTCGGGCCCCACACTCGCCGGAGGCTGCACAGTGTCCTGAGAACCAGGCAGCCGGGCCGCAGGGCCGCCCTGGCTCCCTCCATCCACTCAGGCCCTGTTTACAATCCCCTCAGCTCTCCCTTTCCTGGAGCATAGAGGCCCGCCTCCTCGGGGGGCTGGCAGGACCCGACCTTGCCCACTTCGCGCCCGGCCTCCGGGAGCCCTCGAGTTTGGCGTCTCCCACTCACCGCACGTGGACGCGCCGAGGAGCCCCCAGAGGGCCCGCCGTGTGCGGAGCAGCACACAGGCCAGACTGGCTGTGCAGCCTGTCCCTCCTGAGGCCGGAATCTTCCGAGAACCAGGACCCCCGCCCCAGAAGCAGCCTCTTCCATGTGGCTTCAAAGAGCTCTGGTGTTAACTGGCATCCAAGAAGCCGCCGGGCAGTGGGCTCTCGGACAGAGGCCCCCACGACCCACCTCCACGCCCAGCTGGGCAAGCACTCACACTGTGGGTGAGTGATCTTCAGAACAAGGAAACACAAAGCTCGCTTCTCTGAGGAGTTGAAGCTGCTGGCTCACCAGGACACAGCCTCTGCTCTCGGGGACCACGAGCCTCGTCCCCGACCACCCACGGGAGGCACTCACCAGAACTTGAACTCCGGGAGCCTCCGGATGAAGGGCCGGAACTCCTCGCTCTGTTTGGTCGGTAACGAGGGGCCGTCGTCTGAAAGGCAGAATGTCCATCAGAGGTGGCGCAGGTCTCCCATCTTTTTATTTCCAACACTGCACTTTTAAGTTTCCCTAGAGCTTCTGAACTAGCAGGCCTGATACGCAAAATACAAATTTACATCACGTAACCAAAGATACAATGAGGCTGTTCAGCCACCTTAGAAATCGACTCATTGCTGGGAAGGTTTGTGTTAGAACTTCTTTCTAGGAAGATCTCGTATACACTCTAAGTGACTGCGTAAAAATTAACCACACGCCAATTTTCAGGAACACGTCAACTGTGTGACATGAAAATATGTTAAAGTACAAGGAAGGAGCAACGGCCACAGCTCGCAAGAGAAGACGTGGGAGCCGCGAGCACCTGCTCCCGGGGGCTGGGCTCGGGAGGGCACCCCCGCCCCACCCCCGCGGGAAGGTGCCTCCCGCATCACGCATGGAGAAACTGAGGTCTACAGAGGGGCCTCTGATTTTCCAATACCCCCAAATGGCAGCATAGATCAAAGGGTTGTTTCCTTTAACGTTCATTAAATACCGTACAGAGAAAAGTCACAGGCTCTGGTCACAATTTGAACAGTCTGGAGAAAACGTCCAGGCTCGTAAAGTGTCTCCCTGCCACACCCGGGAGGGCGCTGCGGGCAGGGAGCCGTGTCAGGTTCTCCTGCGGCAGGATGTGTGGAATGACTGACTCACCACGTTTGTGCCCCGCCCCCGCCCCACCCCAGGCTGGCCTGGCAGGTGTGGCCCAGGTAGGCCAGGAGCAGTGGGAGCCAAGAACATTCAACACATCATCCTGGGAAACCAGAGAGCGCCACCGTCAGCGGTGCCCGACCGTGGGTCAGTTGCCGGGGCCTCCGTCAGCCACAGGGAGCCGCCCTCAGAGCCTGGTTTTGGGAGAAGGGGGCCTGGCTGGTAAGCGTGACCACGATGGAGGGGTCCCGGCCCACATCGGCTCGCGTACAGGGCACAGGGCCCCGCCTGCCTCAGCTCCCTGTCACCACAGGGTGGCTGAAGGAGCGCCGGCCCCTCATGACCGGTCGGGGGTTAACGAGCCCTTCCACAAAGTACCGCAATCACAGAGGCTATATAGGTCTGTGTTAAACACCCAGAGGACAGTCTCAAAAGTTTGGATTTCAAATGTTTCTAAAGAAAATGGAGCAATCCTGTGAAGTATACAATCAGACTTCCCCAAACAGGGCAGAACAGACGGTCTCTACCTGAGTCTTCCATCAAGGAAGGGTCCACTTTTGGAGAAAGGAAGGCTATGAAGAGGTTGAGATGGTAGATCCCCAGGGCGTAGGTCACGATGTACCAACCCTGGAAGAGAAGCGGACGCAGTCAGTGACACCACCCTGGAGGGGCCCCTGGTCTGGACAGAACCTGAAGCACGGGGGTCACAAGTGAGGGAAGGACAGCAAACGTCCCAGGTGACAGCTTCCCTCAAACTGTGCAGTGGGTCTTAAGAGTGGACAAGCCAGGGTCCAAACAGCAAGTGCCTCCAAACACCCATCAGACGCACCCAGTACCTACAGCCACCAGCACCTCCCGCCGGGAACGCAGTGGAAAGGAGGCGTTTCTCAAAGCCACCGCCCGAGCTGCACCAGGGACTCCTGCGTGAGGACAGGCATGGCTGGACACAGAGGACACTGCTGCACACGCCAGGTCACAAGCTCTGCCCAAGGCCAACAGCTGACCCAACCCGACAGGGCCTGAACCGTCCTCAAGACACGCTGGCCCAGACTCCCGGGGGCGACGCACACCGCCGCCGCCACTGTCAGGACTGCTAATAACCTCTGCCCGGAAGAAATCCAGAATCGAGAAATCAGGGAAGCCAGGCAAGGTCAGAAGCGCTGTGGGGGCAAACCTTCCTCAGGGGGACAAAGAAGGGACGTGCCTGCACGCCCGCCGCCCACACAGCAGCCAGCGCCCCGACAGACCCGGCCGCACGGCCTGACCTATTCCACTGACGGCCAGTGAGTCTTCTTTTAACGGAAGCACCAGGGATGGAACCAGGACCCCGTGCATCTACGCACATGCTCTCCCACCAAGCTATGCCCTCCTCCCGCCTTATCCATTTTAAGAGCCTAAAAATTTTCCTGCAAACAGGATGGGATCTTCCTGCTTTAAATGTTTCCAGGTCAGACAACTGAGAACCAGCTGACAGAAGTTACCAGTTCCACGTTCACACAGCTCCAACTCACAGGGCTGGAGGGAGGCCCAGTCGGTTATAAACTCAGTTTGCCACACAGGGACCCAACCTGTGTGGGAGGCATCTCTGCCCCCTCCCGAATTCCCCAGATCAAGATTTCTAGGTCATTCTTCCCATCAGAGAATGGACCACGGTCCAAATTTTTTTTTTAATCTGAAACCAATCACAGAAAATTTAACATTAATTGCAGACACCCAAACAGACCACGTCCCCGGCCTTCGAGGGGAACCAGGGTCAGGCCTCTTCAGAACACGCGCACAGGTAAGAGCGCCCGGAACAGGTTCCTACGTTTAGTCTAGGCAGGAATTTCCCACGGTACCAGACAAGCACAGCACCCAGTAAACGAAGTCTCCGTCCAGGTGCCCACAACCTCCTCAATCCTGGGGGTACCAGGGGGGCAGGGTCTCTTTCCGTGACCAGAAGTCTTTCCCAGCCCCAGGAGAGAGAAAGCTCTGGACAAGGCCTCAACCTGCCGTCCTCTGGACACGAGGCAACGCTGGCTGACCTCCTCTCCGGGCCTGCGGAGAGATCCCACCTGGAACCCAGGTGGTCACCAAGGGCTCAGGGAGGAGGCCCTCCGGCACCACCACCAGCACTAAACCTGGCCTTCCTCGGGCACCAGCACGGCTCCCGGCACCCAGGCGTGATGAGCCGACCCACGAGTCTCCAGCCCCCAGAGTCCCTAGGCCGGGCTGGGGATGCCACAGGGTCCGCTGTGCAGACTGGGACGCCAGAGGGCGCCACCCATCTCGCCGGGCCCTAGGCTGACCCGGAGACGGCCCTGGGAGCCCCAGCACCAGAGCGTGAGGAACCCCGGGCGAAGTGTGAACAATCCCAGTGTGAAGGACGGGCACCGACACTTCCCTTACGTTCAGTGCTCAGCCGGAAAGTGATCGGTAGAGAGCACTTCCTGCAACACAAACCCTGAGCGCAGAGCGGGGCAAAGACAGCGGCCCCCCCACCGCGGCCACACTCACCTGCAACAGGTAAACTCGAACCATGTAGACGAAGCTCAGGCCCAGCGTCACCACCCACCGCAGGGCCGTGTGAGGCGTGGACTTGTCCAGCCAGGACTGATAGATCTGGAGGAAGGAGAGTTCCCGCGCGTCATGGAGCCCGCCGCGCCTCCCGCAGTGCACCCCCCGCGCTCTCTGCTTCAGGCTCCAAGTCACCAACACAGAGCAGTGACTACGACTCATCCAAATTTTATCTGGAATAATTCCTGAGGCAGCTCCATCCCTTAAGCAAAAATATTACCAGAGCACCTCTCACAGCAGGTGGTGCCACAGCACTGGCCGGAGGGGTCACCACGGGGAGACCTGACTTCAGCCCCGGCGAGGACTGGCCTGAGGACGGCAAGGGGGAGCCGCCAAGCCGCCACCTGCACACAGGACTCCGCCAACGCCCGCTGCTCTCGGGGCCAAGCCCACCCCCCAGCCCCAGCCGCCCGAGCTCCGCGGGACCAGAGCAGCGTGGAGCTTAGTTTCACAGGTGCACACGCGTGTGTCCGTGCGCGGGTGTGTATCTGTGTCCGTGTACACGTAACTAGTGTACATGTGTGTGGTCTGACTTTAATTCTGAAACTTTAATTGTGAAATTCAACCTCTCATAAAAGTAAAGAGAACATGTGGCCCCACGCATGCCATGACCTGGCTTCAATAATTATCAGGTTTTCCAGGTGCTATTTCTTAATTTTAAAAATCAGTACACTCTCAGTTCTGAACCCACACATCGGTACGTGCACCTCTTCACCAAGTCAGACTTCCTCCTCTAAGACGGAAGCCCACGCACGGTGTGGAGCGCTGCGGGCCGCTGCAGCCTGGTCTGGCTGAGCACGAGCGCAGACTGGGCGAGGGGCTGTGGGCCCGCCCCCGCCCCCGGGCCGAGGCGACGTGGATGTGGGTGGCGGGGAGAGGCGACATCAAGGGCAGAGCAGGACCTGCCGAGTCTGCGCCACCCAGGAGCTGAGAACGGCTTCCACGTTTTAAAGGTTGTTGGGCAAAGATGCAGAAAACAAGGATGTGAGCTAGGCTGCGTGGGCCCCCAGGCCTGAACCACTCACTGCGTGCGCTCTGCAGGAGACACGGGAGGCTCCCGGTGGTGGGAGGAGGTGATTCTGAGAGTGAACATGAGACCGAGGGAGGCGACCCTATCCTTGGGGACCTATCCGTGGAGACCGCCAACACGCACGCCCCGGGCAGTGTCCAGGGGCCAAATGTTTACACGATTCAGCCACCCAAAAAACCCACCTGTCCAAGTCTCGTGAAGAATCTGTACACCACGGAAGGCTTCCCATGGACGGACTCCCCCACGCTGTCACCTTCGGACATTCTGGAAATAGAATACGGACTTTTAAACAAAGAGCGCCCACGGGTTTGCTCACCTCACCCTCTTCCAGCACCACTGCACGGGTCTGCTCAGTGCTCATGCTGCACCCCCGCCCCTGCTTCCGTCCGTGTCCACCGCAAGTCGGCCGGGGAAAGAAGCAAGCAGGTAATGCGCTCTGGCAGAGAGCCAGGAGGGCAGGCGGCGCACCAGCGGCCCTAGGCGCATGCCCGCCTCTGCCAGTGGCCCTAGGAGCCACCCTCACAGACTAGGGAGTCCTGTGGATTCGACTCTGTGTCCACCTCCCTGGGGCTTGCCCACTGCGTGGACCGCTGCACCTGCCTCTCCCAGCACCGCCTCCGGCCGCTCCCAGGGCCCCCCTTGGTACCCCTCTCTCCTCTCAGCGCCACCCGATCCCCGACCAGCCTGCTCTCCACTGTGCCGGCAGCCAGCTGGGCACCTCCTGCTCCTCCCAAAACCAGGTCCCACTCCAGGAACAGGCCATGTCACACGTGATCTCAGGTAATCAGCCAACCTGTCCCAGTTCCTTATCTGTGTGTGGAGGTAATCCTATCTGCTCCTGCCCGTTCCAGCCACTGTGTGACTCTGTGTGACACTGTGAGGACTTAGCTTCCAAGAACCCAGGCCACCAGGTGAAGCGAAGGGCACTGTCACCCCCGTTTCATGAAAGAGGGTCAGGCCTCAAACAGTTTAGGCCACTCGCTCAAAGTCCAGCAGCTCTGCCAGTGGGTGGCCGGAGCCCAGCCTGACCTCACGCCTCCAGCCCCGCACGGCGCCGCTGGACCACGGGACAAGAAGGATCCGGGGGACCCGGTCACTTGCCATCCCTAAGCCGGTGAAGACGCCAAGCAAGCTCATGCCGCGGCACCTCGGCAGGGCTGGGGAACAGAAGTGGACTCTGGCTCTGACTATGCTTCCAAAGCCCCCGAGCGGCAAGGCCTTAGTCGGCTCGTCTGAAAGGCACGGCAGCCCTTCCCATTTGGACAGAAAGCTGCAGTTCACGATGCCCGAGCTGCCCCATCAACTGGCCTGTTCATGGCAGGGCCGGAGCATGAACCACGCCTGCCCACACTTCCCGGGCACGTCCGCACTGCGTGCACTCACTAAGCTAGCAGGCTCACAACGTGGTCCTGGCCCCAAGCGGAACAGGTGACCCAGGAGCACCAGCCCCTGCAGTCGAAAATCCAAGTACAACTTTACGGTCAGCCTCTGTATCCCAGGATCACTCTGCGTATTTCAGGAAGAACATTCACAGTAAGTGGGCCCACGTACTCCAAACCCGTGTAGCTCAGGGTCAACTACACAGCTCAGGTATTAAAATAACCTGAGCAGTCCCACCGCACACATCGCCACACTTGTGTTATCAAGTGAAACCATGACTTCACGCCACCACTTCCTGGAGCCCTGGGCAGAGGGGCTGAGTGCCGAGAAGGAGACCCAGAAATGCCCTTTGCTCTCATGGGAGTCACGACCAAACTGAACAGGCGACCTGTGGCTCCTGGTCCTGTCTTTTTGGAAAGTTTGTTTTTATATTCAACTGGGGAGAATTCCGTATCTTAAAAGGGGCTAAATTAGAAGCTGTTACCTAGGAGGGCCAGCCACCCAACCAGTAGGCCAAAGCCTGACCAACAGAAAGCGACATCAGCAGTGTCCTCAGCCCTACAGTTCCCTAGGAATTTCTCCTTATCTTACTTCTTCAAGACCAAAGTGCTTCCCATTAAAGTGGTTTTACTTAAAAGGAGGCATTGAGAGCAATGCTAGAGAGAAGACACTTGGCTCTTCCTTTACAGAACGTGCCCTAAGCAGAAACAGCTGCCCACACGTCTCATTCTTCCACCTGAACGTGTGGAAGGCCTTCCAAGCACACGTTGGCTGATTCCTAACCACCTGACAGACGGCACGTGCGTTAAAGCGTGGCCCCACACCTGAGATGGACTCACCATCACTGACAACATCAGGAGTATGAACTTTGGAGCCAAACGGCCGCCTACAGAACCCCGCTCTGTCACCATCTAGCAGTGGCCCGAGTCTCTCTCAGCACACCCACTCCAGTCTGTGCAGTGGGGCACAGCACCTCAGCACCCTCTCCAAGGCCTCTGGCGGGGACTCTGTGGCCACCGCGTTAGCATCGGCTCGGGGCCTGGCCCTGAGGACAAGGCAAGGAGCAGGCGGGCCTCCCTCAAACACGTCAGACTTGTTCCTGGGTCAGGGTGCCCTTTGCACCAGCTGGTCTGCCGGCAGTCCTCTTTCCTCTGCTGTTAAAGGGCCGCCTCTTCAGTGAGGCCCTCCGTGACTGTCCAGCTGGCACAGACCCCTTAGGTCACATCACCCTGTCTTATTTTGTGTGACAGGCATTTCTAACTTCTTCCCAGTGTACTTCTCTGTTTCCTCCTACTAGAATGCAAGCCCCTTGAGGGGAGCCTTGTCTGGCCCACTGCTGGGCCCTACGCCTACACGGGCCTGTCACATAGCGAGCAGCCAGTAAGCTGTCTGCCAAGCTCAACTGCTTCAGGCTCAGTGACTTGAAGACCAACTAGAAACCAAGACAAACCAATCCAAGCAGAGACCACAAGCGTCACTTGCGGAGTTGTAGCAAAACTCACCAGATGCCTAGTTCTCCAGCCATCGCTGCACCTGCTTCTGGAGTGGTCCTCACTCCTCAGAGAATCGCACACACAGGAGCAGCCTGGCATACGGGTCATCAGTTTGCCTCCCACCACTTTTCCTTCATCTCCCCTCCCCTCATTCCTTGCGGGTCGCAAGCACAGTAATTTCACACACTTTCAACCTCTGATGCTGTTCCCTCCGCTGATACTGCCCTTCCAGAGCTCACAGACTCCCTCGGCAAGGCCCCGGGGGTGGCTCCTCCCTCCCCTGAGCGTGACCACCTTCCAGTCTCCACCTGCCCTGGCCACCCTGGACCTGCACTCACAGGATCTGGAGACCTTGATTCACCTACGGGGAGCCGCCTTACACACCCCTCACGAAGTGAAAGACCAACTCGACTGAGAAGCAGGCGCCCCGGGAAACTCCCAGGCCCAGGCGCCAGGGCACGCTTCCGGAGGGCAGCTCTGGGCAGGTGCGCGGGGCGCCGTCGGGCGAGTCAGCCCGAAGCGCTAGTGATCTTCGTCCGCAGAATCGCCAAGAAGCGACCCCGAGCGACCCAACTTCATCGCGACGCTTCCTCCCCAAATCGCGCAGGCCAGCCCTGGATGAGCGAGGACACCCAGGGCCCCCGGGCCCGGGCCGGGAAGCCGGACCCCCGTCCCACGGACCGCGCCCGCGAAGAGCGG